TTCATTTTTTTTTTTATATATATATATATATAAATAAAAACTGTAAGCACGATATGTTGCGAAGATTGAAAAAGATAAATTTCGGTTAAAACTCAATGTATTTCAAATGGGAATTTTCAAAGTCGATGCGGGAACCCTTAGACTCACTGTATTATGTTTTACTTAGGACCAAAATTTTTCTTTTTTTACCGACTGAAAAGTTACAGGGGGTCCCATAAAAATTTAAAAAATTGCCAAATTAACGGACACATTATTCAATATTTAGGAAGCGTGTGCTAGTGATTGCACAACTGAACATCGATCGCTAACGTGAAATTATTCAATATTTACAGAAAAATTCTTGTATTAATGAAGCTATAGCGATAGATGAGCGATTAGTAGGTAAATCAATATCGAAATATTTTGTAGATTACGCTGCGTTTTATTAAGATAAAAGCGTTATTATTTCGCATATGTCTCTCGAATACGCTTTCAAAACTTGTGTAATTTCATGTGATAAGGCATGTATAACAGCTACTATAGAACAATATCGCAACATTCTCAATTCATTTTTGCAGACACCTCAACTATGACAAGCTAGCTTACAAGTAATCTAGCATGAGAAGAGGGACTCCATGTCACGAATTTACATATCCAATATTATAGGCAGCTAATTGATCGATTATTATTTAGTAATTAAATGTACGTGAGAATCCGTTATTTTATAATTTTATATATTTACCAATGTATCACGTATTGTATAATGTACACTAAAAATGTCACAAGTGTTCCAAGATTTATTAGAAGGGCATTTTTGGGTAATACATCTACTTTCATGATATACACATAATAGGTCCGACTAGACACGAGATATTTTTTACATTATAGTTTTTTTTATTTATTATTAATTTACCCTTAACGAAAATGGTACAAGATATAGTTTTCGAACAATTACTGATTAAAAGTAAGGAATTTTTAGCAAACTAGACTTGAGAAGTGTAAAATAGATAATAACATGACATTCTTGGGTCAATTTCAAATGCTTTTATTTTAATCGGATTGTTATTTAAAGTTTACTTGCAAAGAGATATGTAATGTTCAAAATTGAAGAGATTCGATAATATATGAGATTGTCGAATTTCGTTTATGCCTGTACAGTTCGTAAAAGTTTGCAGAAAAAAAATAAGAAGTTTTGATAATTAATACTCTATTTTTCACATGTTATCTTATACTTTAAAGAACATCATCTATACATGCTAAAGTAGATAAATTTAATTTAGAATCTTTTAATATTAGGTAATGTAATTAATGTAAAGAGATTTTCTTTAACATAAAAGTTATTTCAATTGCCAGCTGCGATCAAATACGGTTCAATGAAAATCATTTATCCAGACATGATTTATAATAAAAATTTTAGACACAGTTAACAATTCATAATTGTGTGATAAAAGTGTTTCACAGACTGAAATTTTTATTCACCGTACCCATGTTCTCTCTCTCTCTCTCTCTCTTTCTCTCTCTCTCTCTCTCTTTCACTCTTTTCTTTTTTTTGGGGGGGGAGGTGATTTCAATAAATGTTTATAATGGCTGCGTTCCGATTTCCAATATTCACTGCCAGTACTGAAAATCTATAGTTCACGTCACGTGCACTATAGATTTTCAGTACTGGCAGTGAATATCGTAACGCAGCCAATACTAGCATATATATAATATACGTATAAGCATTGTACGATATAGTCACTATCTTCTCAGTAATTAGAATTATTTTTATTTTTTTATTATATTTTTATATTTTAATATTTCTTTATTTTTATGTGTACAATTATACATCTTGTATTAGTTTTAAATAAACATCCGTCGAAATTTATTTTTTAATGTAAAGATTCTCGAAGATCTATAATATACCAGCACCGACAAGATATATATTAAAGACCGGCGGTGGTCTTATGGGGCCTATATTTATTGTGACTGGAAAAAAAACTCGCTGCGCAGTATTTTAGTTCATCCAGTTATTGTTTTATTTTCGAAAATGTATACATCTTTTATGTAACTGCTTCAACAAAATGAACATTTTATTGTAAAATTACTGTTTTATTATCG